TAGTGACGTCATTTGTGGGAATTTATTTTCTTTGATTATTCTGAATCTCTTAAATTTTGCATTTGTAACTACTTTCAATCTCACCTCTGTTGGTGGGTACGAAGTCAACTTATGCCAAAAATGTCACCACCAATGATCAACTACGATCAACCATTGAGATACTTTAACACAACGCTTCAACACTTCTTTCTCTAGTCTGCGAATCCTAGGCTTTAATGGTAATTCCTCAACCATCACTCTAAAAATGTGCTTCTCCCAATTCAATTACTAACTCTTTCACCGCAAAATCAACTTGATCTACCTCATGTTTCACTTCCTTCATCCTACATTTTAGTTCCTCCATGAATATATCTTCTCTAGCAACTCCAAGCCTCATTGGACACACCAAATAAAAACGAGCTCATGTTGACCATTTTCAATCTACTGCAACTACAAAATGTAAGGCTTCTCTATGTCGAAAAAGAACCATTGCAATACAGATAGAAACCTTACAACACAACCACTTTAAATATATCTCAGTGATCACTCTTATTGATGTTGGTTCATAACCACAAAGACCCCAGGAGGCTCTAAATGACTATAATTGTAGGAGTAGCTGCAAATTACCACCTGATGGTCGTCATCCAAAAAGGCCTCTTTCTCCTCACAGTTCACAAAGGAGGCACAAACATAATTCTTCTGAATTGTCTCGTACTCGTCGTTGAAAGAATTTGTTCCTAAAATAAGTCAATAAATGCATCATCCCTAAGTCTTTGCATAATCCCCTAAAGTTAGAGACTTGTGAAGGTATTAGAGACACTGACGAGCACATGAACACCGTATTGGATTACCACTTAGCCAATGGCCCATTTAAGTGCAAACTTTTAATTCTCACGTTGAAGGGAGCCTCTATGACTTGGTTCAAAGGGCTAGAAGATAGCTCCATCAATTATTGGAAAACATTACGAGAAGATTTTACATCTCACTTCACCCCACAAAAGTTTCAACTAAATACAATGATCATTCTCAACATTATTTTACAAAGAAGAAGGATACACTACGAGAGTAAATTGACATATTCAATAGAGAGGTTATAGAGGTCTAAGAGGCTAATAATAAAATGAAATGATATGTATTTGAGAAAGACCTGAGAATATATTTCATGTTTAGTGAGATGATAGGGTTAGAGGGGCCATAGAGTACGAATAAGCTACTCACTTGAGCTCAACCATAAGTTTATAACGACAAGACATCTAGAAAATCCAAGGATAACAAACATCGTGAAACAAAGATTGAGATAGGAACAAGGGACTAAGGGACCATGATTCAGATTTTCAAAACAGATCCATTTCAATGCGACTAGGGAAAGAATACTGCAAGAGTGCACTGTAACATCCCGATAATTTAATTAATTATTTAATTAAAATTATTAGTTGGAGTTGAGCAATGTTGTAAATTATTGTTAAGTTGCTCTGTGACATTATTTGATTAAATGGTGGTTTAATAATATTAAATATATTGGAGCATTATAAGATTAATTGTTGGGCTTATTTAAGTGATGTCATGTAGTAAATATGGGAGTGTGGATATTGGCCCAATAAGAATTACTAGAATTACAATGTTAAGTGGATATAAAAGGAATTAGGTTAATTGAGAAAAAGTGAGAGAATAGATGGGAGAAACTCATTCTCGTTTTTATTGCAGCAGTCTCACTAAATAGGCAATCCCCGATTAGTTAACCGTTGGATCATGCTCAAATTTTGAGGGTAGGTTCACAATACCTACATCTAACGTTTGACCGTTGGGATCTTCAAAATAAGGTATAAGTTTGGATATATCATCATCGCACTGTAGCTGCATATTTGGGAAATTTTTCAGCTTTGATTCTGATCTAGAGAGAAAAATCTTGGAAGGTTTTGGTACAAGAGAAGTTACAGAGAAGAGAAAAATAAGGGTTTTGAGGAGAAGAAGAGGGATACGTGGAAGTTACACCAAGCGGCTAAGAGGAGATTCAATCGGAGACCCTTAGAGTTACCTTCAATCCAAACCAGGTAAGGGTGGGGTTCAATCTCTATAACCGGGTATATGATAAACCGTATGTGGGATTGGGTTGTATAAATTTGTGCCATGACTTGTTGTCGATTCGGTTATATTGTGATTCTGTGAAGATTATCAGTCCTACAATTTTAGTTGTCAGTGAATGTTCATAATGTGTTGATGAAGTTGTTCTGAAATTGATTTAAATTGTATTTTTGTCATGATGTTGTTATGGCTATTATTGAGTTGTTGTCCTGAGATGAGACTCGAAAGAACATATAGGCGTGGTGGAAAGACTATGTCATATCTTATATTATTAATAAATTAATATAATTAGTAAACAGGGAAATATTTGTCATCTTCAGATTCAGAAAATGATGTTTCATCAGACGCAGAGTCTTGAAGGACAAAAATTGTTTCTTCATCAGCAGAACTTTGTTCAGAATACAAAGATTCTAGGTCTCCATCTAGAGGTTGAAGATAGTTGACCAGTTTTGCGGCTTTGTGGGTATTATTAGGACATTCCTTAGAAAAGTGCCCCTTTTTCCCACAAATAAAGCATCTCTGATTTTTCCCCTTTCCTCTGAAAGATTTTCTTTTAAAGAACTTCATGGTCTTCTTTTTCTTTCCCTTAAAGTTCCCATGGGATTTGGAGTATTTTTGATGATGATGTTTCTTTTTTGTTTCACAACTGCACCTTTTGTCTTTACACTTAATCTCCAGATAAGGTTTTTTGCAGGCCTTGGTGAACTTTGACTTTTGCTGTATCACTTCTTGAAATTGATGATGAAAGCTGCAAAGCTTTTCAAGTGCTTCCAACGTCGCCTGATGAATCTGGCCAAGACTCATTGTTGCAATATCCTTTTTAGCTGTTGCTACCATCCTATGGATTTCTTGCTGGAGTTCAAGTGGTAGAGACGATACATAGGTATTCTTGAGACTAGGATCGTTGTACCCATTGAGGAGATAAAACCTTTGTGCCATCCTGTGATAGTGTTTGTCGCGGTCTTTTGTTTTGAGGGAACAACACTTCATCTCAAAGAATTCCTGTCTATTTTTTCTATCGAACATATCCATATCTCCGATAAACTCCTGGTGGAGTACACCAAGAATATTGGCTGTGCTTTCTAAACGGTGTAACTCATCTTGTTTGAAAGCCCCAAGATTATGATACCATTCCTTCATCGTGCCTGTCATTCTACAGCAAAATTCTTCAATGACCTTATAGCTATCTGCATTTGTTTTCATCATCTGGGTATCAAGCCATGCTCCGAATTCGAGTAGTCTCTTTCTCCAACGACTAGGCGGTATATCATCAAATGTGAACCAAGGACCACCATTTGGTTTAGTCCTTTCAGGGACTAGAGTTTCTTCAGGAGATTCTTCAAAAAATGAATCTTCCTCTTTTATATTTGCCATGAAGAGTCTTGGGATGTAGTTTACTTCAGATTGTGATTCTGATGAAAAGGATCTTGGTGTTTTATCACTAGACGTTTCTTGACAGGAGTCTTTGTCATCATCTGAGGAGGACTCGTCTTCTTTTTGTGCCGATGATTCAGCAAGAGAGTAACTTTTCTGGGGAAATTCATAATTTCCATTGATTGCCATGGCTTGGAAACCTTTATCAGGAATTTCTTCTTCTTTTTGGAATTTTGGAGGAGGTGTTTCAGGAAAATCCTGAGATTCTGAGGATGAAGCGCTTAAACAGGCAGCCTTTCCTTTTTTCTTGGAGGTTGAGGTAATGGTAGTTCTGGTAGATTTTGGTCTGTAAGCTGTAGGTATGTATTTGACCTGATCTGGTGGTGAAGTAACATAGGTAGGGAAGAAGGGAGAAGGTCTTTCTGGTCGTTTGAAATATGTAGGGAAAGTAGGAGGGTCAAGGAAAAGGTTTTCAACAAGCTTGGGCTTTCTTTCGTGTGAAGCTCTTAAGAAATCATTTATTTCTTTTACTTGGCCTTGTAGGTTTCTGATTTCTCTTTCCTTTTGGTCAAAATTTTTGCCAAAAGTTCTCTCTTCTAACATCTGTCGCAAATCACGATCCAACTGAGACACTTGAGCCTTTAAGCTTCTGTAATGCTTCTGCATTTTCTGTGATAGAACCTTGAGATAATCATCTGTCTCGTCTATCCTTTCAGCAATCTTGTCCATTTTTTTGTCGAGATTTTGGAGGATGTCATTTTGAGATATCATGTTTTCTGATTGCCAATTTAGAACTTCTTCAGCTTGAGTTAAAGGTTTGAGTTTTCCATCGGGTTGTACTTCATTAGGATGAATGAAGGGTTTGGATGTTCTACCAGTGATTGGGTCCATCTTCCTTTCTAGAGCAGGAAATTGTTGGCTATATTCTGGTGCGGTAGTTGAGTACATAAAGCAAGGGATTAACTCCACATTTTTTGGAGGGTCCAAAACTTTGCAGTAGTCTGATGGTGACCACGTAACCAAAGTAGGATCATTTGGTGGCAGCAGTTTTTCTTTTCTGAGGATCTTGAGAGCTTCCTCATAAATAGGAAGAGGTTTCTTTTTGTCATGGATACCTACCCATGGACCTTTATCGGATCATATCTTCTTTGTGGAGGGGAAGATAGTTTGCACGCCCCTTTGTTTTTCCTTTTCGAAAGGATAATATCTCTGTCATAATCATTATCGTGCATCCAACATTCACATCCTGGGTCACATTTATTGGGATCTACGTCCCAAATAAAATGACCATTTATCTTGTCAGTGTACATAGGTTCTCCTTTATAATTTTTAAGATTAAATATATACGAGGTGTTGGTAAATATTTCATCATCCTGTAAGTTTTGTTATATTTTGTAACTTGAAGCAATCTAATAGAGTTAGAATATTTTAGAGAAAGAAAGGAAATAAAAGAGACATAAATGTAAGTAACGAGATCGAATCTTGCTACCACTGCCACCGAAGCAGTTGACGACGACTCTCAAAAACCACCGTGACTGACTTTCTAGGGTTCCGATCAACCACCAATGGCGGGTCGCAGAGATGCCATACTCACCAGAGACAAAAACCATCAAATCACCGCTTCTCGAATCGCCATCGCCGTTTTCGTCGGTGTTCTTCTTGGCTGCATCTTCGCTTTCTTCTCACCACACGGTTTCTTCACTTCCATTCCAACTCCTCCTATTCTCAATCACAAGGTACTTCTAACTTCACTCGTTTTTTTCATTTTCTATTTTCGAATATCAATTTCTTTAACTAGCTTTCTGTAGCTCGTTTATACTAACATCATTTCACTTTTTCTATATTACTTCAAATATTCAAACTCAATTGCTTACATTAGAGGATCTGAATCCATTCAATTGAGATTACTTATTTTACACTAGAGTGAATTGTTCTTTTCTAGGAGCTAAATTCTGAAGGAAGTTTATTTTTTCTTTTGTTTGTTAGGTGGCTTTGTCTGCCTGTGAAACGCCGGAACAACTTAATGCGTTGAAATTGAACATTCAATCAGCTAAAGAGAAAAACTCTGACTTGAAGAAGGAGGTGAAAAGTCTAATGGAAAGGTTGCGTTTGGCGGAGCAAGGAAAGGGTCATGCGAGGGAACAATTTGTTGTGCTTGGTGAGAATCACAAGGCTGGTCCTTTTGGTACTGTCAAGGCTCTCAGAACGAACCCTCCTGTTATTCCTGATGAGTCGGTGAATCCTAGATTGGCAAAACTCTTGGAGGAAGTTGCTATTTATAAAGAGGTTGTTGTTGTTCTGGCTAATACTAATGTGTTGGAGATGTTGGAAGTATGGTTCACCAATGTCAAGAGGGTTGGCATTCTTAATTATTTGGTTATAGCATTAGATGACAAAATCCAAGAGTTTTGTAAGTCGAATGATGTTCCTGTCTATAGAAGAGACCCGGATGAAGGTGTTGATTTGATTGCCAAGTCGGGTGGGAACCATGCTGTTTCGGGATTGAAATTTCGCATTTTGAGAGAGTTTCTGCAACTGGGTTATAGTGTTCTCCTCTCGGATGTTGATATTGTGTATTTGCAGAACCCCTTTGATTATATTTATAGGGATTCAGATGTGGAGTCAATGTCGGATGGTCATAATAATTATACGGCTTATGGATATAACGATGTCTTTGATGAACCTTCAATGGGTTGGGCTAGATATGCTCATACCATGAGAATATGGGTTTATAACTCTGGCTTTTTTTACATAAGACCTACACTTCCTTCAATTGAGCTTTTGGATCGCGTTGCCGACCGGCTTTCTAAAGAGAAAGCATGGGATCAGGCAGTTTTTAATGAAGAGCTCTTTTCCCCTTCACATCCTGGTTATGATGGACTTCATGCTGCAAAGAGAACAATGGATATGTACCTTTTTATGAACAGTAAGGTTCTGTTCAAGACTGTGAGAAAAGATGATAAACTCAAGAAGTTGAAGCCCGTGATTGTACATGTTAACTACCATCCTGATAAACTTGTAAGGATGAAGGCTGTAGTTGAGTTCTATGTCAACGGGAAACAAGATGCGCTCGACAGTTTCCCTGATGGTTCTGATTAGCTGGATATCAGAATCGACATGATTCTAACTCGAAAATGGCCGGTATGCGCTAACTGTTGTGATACAGTGGAAGTCTTTTTAATTTATCTCTAAGGATCAATTTCATCTCATTCTACTTTCTGTTTTACAGTCTGTCAGATTTGATTATTAGACTAGTTTCTGTAATCTATCATCTTAACTTTGTATATGTCTTCTTGTATTGTGTATGTAGTTGAAATTCAACATCTCTGCAACAAAATTGGGTTTTTTCTTGGCTAATTCGTCTTATCTTTTGGCATCTATCCTATGATCTAGCATCTATGTGCTTCTAATTGTTCTTCTCCTCACATTTCATGGCAGCTAGGGGTGTGAAAAAAAACTGGATAGTGATAACCAAATTCATATCTAAATTGTTCCATTTTTTCAAATCCAATCCAAATATTAAATATTAAATTTGGTGGTCCATGGTCAAAGTGGTAAACAGGTATTTATTTATAAAATGGTTATTGTATATCCAAATTTCTCTTAAAATGGTTATTGTGTATCCAAATTTCTCTCATCAAATTTGTCTGCTTTTCATTTTTCTCACTTTCTCAAGAAAATAAGCTCTACACATTTTCATAAAAATTGAATGATGTTTAACATTTTATTTCAAATGACTAATTATTAAATAAATATAAAAATGTTTAATTATAGTTAAAAAATATGCAAATACTCTCAAATAAATTGAAAGATACAATAGACTAAACATTAAAAAAGCAAGATATATTATGTAGAAGACAAATTTAAATTTGAAAGAAATTTATTTGAACTTATTCCTTTTCATTCAATATATACATATATTGTATAAAAGAAAACATTAATACTATTTCAGTATTAATTGATTTTTCTTTTAGGATTGATAAAACATAAAGGATCATTTAAACATAAAAAGATTTTAAAAACGGTATGTGACCGTGAGAACGGCTACGACAAAACGTTTTGAATAGATGTAGATACAGATACCGTTATATCTGTTTTATATTAAAAAACAAATTATGATTAATAATTTACACCACCATGAACACAATCAATATCGTGATATCTCTATCGACCGAAATTGCAAAAGTTGCAATACGACCACAACAATTTTTTAAAATCTACTTAAAATTAAGAATGTGCTTTGTTAATGTTTAAAAAAATTAATACTAAATTAATTTTAAAATTTTATTAATTAAAATAAATTGAATATAAATTAAATTATATTTAAATAATTTGAATTAAAATTAAAATCGGTTTCAAACCGGTTTTAATCCGGTTTGAAACCAATTATGTCTTTCAAATCGGTTTTTATGATTAATAATTTGGTTCGTAAACCATAACTATAAAAGTGAATTGGATCACAATATACACTATGTAGTAACTATGCAGAGCCTAATGGTAGCATACTTATTTTTCATTGCCAAACATGAATGATGAATCGAATAACAGCTATATAGTATAATTGAGATAAGATGGTATGCAGAAATTCTGAAAGGTTTGATTAATTTTAGTTTAAGCAAGTCAATGCATCTAATTGGTTGTAAAGGAACATGAGATATTAACAATTGCATATGTACAAGATTGGAGGGATCAAATATGAGTTTTATGAATATCTAGGATTAATTTTGGCAAAGTGCATGCATCTAATTTTACCCTTGCTTTATGAACTTCTAGTGATAATGTTGGTAATTTAATGAATATCTCATAATTTCGGAAAGAGCTCAAATTAAATAGTTAATTAACTGAACCATTTAATTAAAACAATTTAAATTTAATTTAAAATCAGTTTAGAATCATTTTTCTTTTATAAATTGATTTAATTTTATATATTAGTTTTTTTATAAAAATATAAAAAATTAATTAAAAGCAAAAAATATTTCTGAAAATAAATAATAATATTTTTTCAAAAATTAAAAAAAAATTCTTTTCTTGAAATTGAAGTTTTTTTCCTGAATATAGAAAAAACTAATGCCGATTTTTTTCGAAAATACAATAAATTGAATTTTTTCCTCAAAAATACCCAAAAAATTGAGTTTAAAAAAAAAAACGAAAAAATCGATTTTTTTCAAAAATATGAAAAAAAGCCAGTTTTTTCGAAAATATGAAAAAAATTGGGTTTTTTTAAGAAATATGAAAAAATTGACTTTTTCGGAAATATGAAAAAGTCGAGTTTTCCGAAGATACAAAAATTGAAATTTTTTCGGAAATATGAAAAAGTCGAGTTTTTTCGAAAATACAAAAATCGAGTTTTTTCGGAAATATAAAAAAGTAGAGCTTTTTTCGGAAATACGAAAAAATTGAGTTTTTTCAAAAATAAGAAAAAGTCAAGTTTTTTCGGAAATACAGAAAATCGGCTTTTTTGAAATACAAAAAATCGAGTTTTTTTAAAATACAAAAAATTGAGTTTTTTTTTTTGGAAATACAAAAAATCGAGTTTTTTCAGAAATATGAAGAAGTCGAGTTTTTTTTCGAAAATATGAAAAAGTCGAGTTTTTTCGAAAATATAAAATTTGAGTTTTTTTTCCCGAAAATATAAAAAAGTCGAGTTTTTTCGAAAATACTGAAAAATCAAGTTTTTTCGAAAATAAGAAATACCAAAAAATCGAGTTTTTTTGAAAATATGAAAAAGTCGAGTTTTTTTGAAAAATATAAAAAATATGGTTTTTTTAAAAACACGGAAATTCAAATATATATTTTATTGGATCCATCTTAGAGATCAATAAAATAGTATGAGTCAACATATACTGTCTTAGTCGGCGAGCAGCCCATGCCAAAGCGCAACAAGTTTTCTTGAGTAGTTAGTATCTCGTTTCACAGTCGGTAAACTTTTTTCTAAGGTAGTATATTGCATGCTCTTTTCAAGCAGACTCGTCATGTTGTCCCAATACATACCCCATTGAGTTCTCTAACACTGTTAACTACATGATAAGGAGTCTTCCTTCAACTGGTGAATTGAAGGTTCTTGGAGGTACTCCTTGATTTTGTCGAAGGCTATCTGACAATCGTCGTTTCACTTCACTACTTGATCTTTCTTCAGCAACTTGAAGATTGGTTCACAAGTAGCGGTCAAATGGGAAATAAATCTGACAATGTAGTTCAATCGTCCCAAGAATCCTCTGACTTCCTTCTGAGTACGGGGAGATGACATTTCTTTAATGGCTTTAACCTTGGCAGGATCAACTTCAATACCTTTACCACTGACGATGAAATCTAGGAGTTTACCGGATCATACCCTAAAGATGCACTTGTTTGGGTTCAGCCTCAACCTGTACTTTTTCAACCTCTCAAACAACTTATGTAGGTGGTCGAGATGTTCTTTTTCAGTCTCAGATCTGGCTATCATGTGATCAACGTAAACCTCTATCTCGTGATGGATCATATCATGAAACAAAGATACCATAGCACGCTGAAATGTTACGCCGTTATTCTTCAAACCAAAAGGCACAACTTTGTAACAGAGTGCCCCACTATGTGATGAAAGTAGTCTTCTCCATGTCTTCAGGTGCCACCTTGATTTGATTATATCCAGAGAAATCATCCATGAAGGAAAATACTTTGTGCTAAGCGGTGTTGTAAATCAGGACATCAATATGCAGAAACGGAAAGTCATCTTTGGGGCTTGCCCTATTCAGATTCCTGTAGTCTACACACATACGCACTTTTCCATCCTTCTTAGGCACTGGAACCACATTTACAATCCACTGAGGATAGGGCGTAACAACTAAGAAACCCGCGTTAAACTGCTTCATAACTCCAGCTTTGATCTTTTCAGACATCTCGGAACGCATATGATGAACCTTCTATTTTATTGGAGGACAACCTTCCTTCATCGATAGACGGTGAACCACAATATTAGTATCAAGTCCTGGCATGTCTTCGTACGACCAAGAAAAGATCTCAACATAGTCACGCAACATCTGGATTAATCTCTTTTTGACACTGTCTTCTTGGTTGGCACCTATTTTGACTTCTTTCTTGTCATCTTCAGTACCCAAATTCACAACCTCGACTGACTCTTCATGCAGTTGTATGGCTCTTTCTTCTTGCTCTAACAATCTATCAAGCTCTCCAGGTACTTCACAATCTTCCTCACCTTCGTCCTTGGCTGGTAGATCGGATTTTCGAAGTCATAATTGACAATAGCGGAATTGTTATCAATGGGATCCAGGGTGGATATGGATCTACAATTTGTTGTGTGTGTGTGTGTGTAAGAACACATAGCTATTTTGAAAGCAATAAAGTAAAAGAAAGACAAAGAGCGCAAAATTTGAATGCAAACATCCAATGATTTATTAAATTAAAATACGCAGATGAAAAATGACAATCCTAACAAATGGACCGTTGTGCCCCGGGTAAGGGACATGTTTAAAGTTATTGTTTTAAAATTACATAACCAAAACTTGAAAGCAAGAAAACAGAAAATAACATTTACTCCTGACTAAAGGAGATTGGTGTAACGTATTCAGTCTTCCAATTGCTGAGTCTGTTGCCGGTGGTAGGAAAAATTCAACTGTCTAGGTCATAGTCACTATCAACATTTTCTATCGTATTGACTCAATTGTTGTTGATGCGGAATGGTGGTCTTCCAGCACGAGCATGAAGAACAACCCTCTGAGCCTCTGCAGTGAAACTCAAACCAAATTTATCATACTTGTACGGAATGTCGGGAAGCTGACCCCAAGTAGTGCAACCACCTTCTTCTACCACAACTCTAGCGTCTTTCAAAGAAGCCATTCTGGGTGGAACCCTGGTAACGTTAGGAATAGCAGAAACATCTTTAGTAACGGTAGTTATCTGAGGAATAGCTTCAAAGATCTGGAAGGGAGTCTCGATGAATTCGCCGTCCATTTCAACATACTTGAAGGAGTTCAATTGGCTCACCATGTATTCTTCTTCACCGCAAACTATAATAATCTTTCCTTTCAAAGGATATTTTAACTTCTGGTATAAAATGGTAGTAACAATGCCTGCCCCATGAATCCAAGGGCGTCCAATGGTTA